GGTGTCCGGAGCTCCCGGTGTACCGGGAAGCGGTGCTGCTCGCAGGGGAGGAGGGAGGTTGAGCGCGGGCAGGCCTCGGTGCCGAGCGCCCGCTGGCAACTTCTGCTGATCCGTCGTTCGGCCGCCCTTCGCGGTAGAAGCCGAGTCCTGGTTTCGGCTTTGGTGTAGCTGGATGAAACGTGATTTTTTTGCTTACTTACCTGTGTTACGTGATTATCGCTGTGGTGCGTGACAGCTGTTGGACGATGCCAAGATATCAGAAGACTCTGAATAACCACAGTAAGGGAATTTTCAGCGGCATTTAATGTTGTAATTCTAAAACACTAAGGCAAAAGAATATAGCAGATGGAAAGAGAAACCTGTAGGCTCTACCCTGGATGCTTATGATGCCTAATCCTTGTCATCTTTGCTGTTTATATCACTGAGCAGATTTGAGAGAGCTTGTTGGTACGAATCAGGTTCCCAGAAGAGCTTCTTTGGTTATATTGTTGCTTGCTCAAGTTTCCCCCTTCTTTCTTTCTGGATTTTACTGTACACGTTGCCGTGATGTTCTGGAGGGGGTTATACTGAGGAGATGCGGTCTGAGGACAGTGAAACCGCTCGTGAATGATATAGCCGAGTTGTGTTGTTGCAACAAACCCATCTGCAGTTGGTACCATTCTGCTAGCAGTTGTGTATATGCACTGTGCGGCTAGTAAGGCACCTACAGAAAGCGAGGGCAGAATACAGGAAAGGACTTGCTGTGTGGTAGGAGACCACTTAAAACATGTCACTATCTTCACATGGTCCCTTGTCACCAGGCAGTTTGGATTCAGTGAAATTAGGTCACTGATGTTAAATGAAGAGGGAGGAGGAGGAGGAGGGGGGAATAATGAGCCATATTATTTATTCTCCTTAGAACATTATTGATGTTTTACTTCGCAGAAACTTACGGAGATGTTAGCTTGCTTTGCCATAAAATTTGATGCTGGTATTTAAACCCAGAATGCTTTCCCCTTCTGTGTGCTCGAATGCTTACTACTGAAGTTCTGTAACTGCAGCTTCTTGTCACAATTATGATATACTACTTCTGGCTTCAATAATGTTCTACTTTCAGTTCTGGTAATCGTGTGGGATACATGTTCCCTATTGCAGTTTCTTATTGCAATGATACAAGTTAGGGAATCCAGGCAGGTAGTTGTAGGATACTTGTAGGGACCTAGAAAAGGGAAGCTTAGCGCATGTTCTGAAGTAACTGTAGCCTAATAAAGTCACCTTTGTTCATCAGCAGACTTCTTTGGCCAAGATATTTGGCTGTTTTCTGCTCTAATACTCAACCAAATGAGTATCTGTGCACCAGCTGTTGCTGTATGGCATGTTTCCCTTCTTACGACATAAAGAATGGTATAAGCCTGTTTAAATACAGGGAGTAGTAGATACTTGTTTCTCATAATTGCTGGAATTCAAAATTACTCACCACTTGCAACATCCCAGACTGTAATGGACTGATCCAATGCTCCAGTGTACAAGTATTTATCATCTTTTGAGAAGCAAGCACAGCGAATGCCTTTCAGGAGGGACGCAGGCTAAAAAATGGATGATGGTTAGGATTAGATTGTTATACTGATAAACATAGGTTGAGATGAAGAAGCCTTAGAGCATTCAGCAGTTATTCAGTCCTTAAGAGCAGGGGTGAAAGTATAACTAAATAAAGGTTTTTACAAGGCAGAGCAGTCCTGGAAGGAGGGTGGGAAACGTCCTTAGGCCCTTAGCTTGTGAAGCACCCTGTAGCTGTGCAGAAGAAAGCCTAATATGATCACACAAAAACCCATTTTTCCACCTGTGGAAAGGAGTAGTTTGGACTCAACCATGGTATATTGTCAGGTGAAAGATTAACAGAATACATTCAGCATTCTTCACTGCTTTTGTTTTACTGAATTCCCCTGAGCTGGCCCTATTTACACCTTCTGTTGCTTAAACAAAGCAAATGACCAACAATAAGATCTAAAAAAATAACTCCTATGACTTATGTTTGAGTGTCAGAATGGTATTAACAGCACGCATTTACTTTGACAGCATTTTTGGACCTGGATACCTTAACAGTGCATCTAGATTATACGGCTGCTTTAAAATCAGACCTAAATTGCTAAAAAGAGGTTGCTGCTTGTCAGTTGGAACAGCTCTGTACAGGATTTGGGTATTCTCTTTAAGAGCTGGGATTCCTGTGAACTGAATCCTCTGTGATAGCTTACGGCAGTAATTGACCATAGACACTGTCTTCCCTCTCTGTCAGTGAAGTACCTTATAATAGTGCATCTCATGTTCCT